GTGGGGCTGGGGGGAGGAAGGGAGTTAGGGGCTGAGCTGCAGAGCAGAGATAGTGGTGAAGAGAAGGGAAAAACAACAACATAAACCAAAAACAAACAGTCAAACGCGAGGCTCTTACTGGCAGAGACAAGGTCCATGTACTGGCAAAGCGCGTGGAGCAGGAGTCGCTCGAAGCTGGGGGAGATGGGGGATGGGGTTAGAGGCAACATGGCTCAAACCGGCACCTCCTGAGCATTTCCTGCCCCGATTCCTCCCATGGGTCAGAGATGGGGAGCACAAAGTGCCATGGGTCCCCATGCAGGGACCACCCAGTGTACCCCTCCCTTGGGGGCTCCGCAGGGGCCAGGCCAAGCAAGACCCCAGACGGAGACCCCAGCCCGCCCGAGGGGTATCCTTTGCTCTCAGAGCCCCTCCACAGGGATCCCACATGGCTCATGACCCCAGCCCCCTCACTGTGGGGGCAGTGACAGAGCCCAAGGGGGCACATACCTGTTGTCCATCAGTGCTGTATAGACGGAGTGGGGGGTGACAGAGAAGAAGGCCAGCAGCTCCTCCTCCAGCCCCTCCAGCGTCCCCTGCAAGGACAGGCAGTGGCTGTCAGCAGCGGCTGGACCCTGCTCAGACCCCGCAGCAGTGGGTGAGAGCAGGGGGCCGGATGGGTGTACCTCAATATGGGCAAAGCCCCTGTCCCTGCGCAGCTCTGCGCCCCTCGCTTTGCCTTCCAGGAGCCGCTGCCCCAGCCAAGGCCTGGCAGTCCCAGCAGCTCCCACAAAAGCCACGGATGTGGGACAAGGGGAAGGCACAAGGACAGGAGGGGACTCCTCTCCCTGCCAGCGCCACGCTCCATGTGCCAAGGGCTGGCACCGTCCTCGCATTGGGAGCAGCGGTGGCCAGGAAAGCCTCATGTCTGGCATCTGCTGCTCTCTCAGCGGGCAGAGACTGGCTCCACACAGCACTGTGACCCGGGAGACAGGCAGCAGCACTGGGTCTCACGTGAGAGCAAACCGAGCAGAAGGCAGCAGCAGGAGGAGCCCGGGCTGCTTTTAGAGGCTCTAATTAGAGCACAGAAAATAAACAGAGCAGGGAAACGGCACCACTGAGGAGGGAGGAGGGAGCACCCGGGGCTGCAGAGCGAGTGCCCGGGCTGGCTGCATGGTGCAGGGTCTCAGACCACGCAGCATGAGGTCACGCTTGCCCTTCTGTGCGGGGTTCACCGACTGCTCCGCATTTGTGCAGTCTGACCACTTCTAAAACACATTTGAGTTCTTGCAAAGAGCCTTGTGGGGGCCACTCTGAAGACCTCAGAGGCTCCCTGTGGACAAACACGCTGGGTTTCCCTGTTACCACTGCTCATCAAGCAGAGATTGGAAAACAACCACGTAAAAGCGCCCTGTAATGACCAGAAAAATCTGAACTGAGCCAGGAAAACCCATCCACACAGGGAGCTGAATGTCTGTGTGCAAGCAGAGCCACCGTGGAGGTGATATGGGAACCGGAGCACATTCTCCGGGAGCTCATCCAAAATTCGGCTCTCAGCTGGCTACAGGAGGTCAGGGGACAGCCCTGGGGACAGAGCCGCATGTGTGGCACTGGTGGCCGGAGCCCTGCCCGCCCCAGCC